ATTTACGATCCAAATTTTGCATCAGAGAGGAGCTCATGCTCTTTGCATTTGTACCTGAACTGTTCGTTAATGCCTACAAACGAAGGAGATAGAGGCTCAAAACCAAAATCACTCAAATTTTGAATTTTTTCGTGTAAGGTCATAAAAAATCGGAAACTTGCAGTAAAAATCGGAGCAATCGGTATTGAAAGTTCTTTCACAAGCTCCTTCTAACAGTGTAAAGTTTGCGCTGATTGAGCGTCTCTATGAAAAGTTATGATTTCCCTGAAAAATATCAAAATAAATCAAATTCGCCCTTTTGTATCGCTTGCTCGAAAATCGTAACTTTTCATAAACATGCTCAATCGGCGCAAACTTTGCACAGTCAGAAAGAGCAGCCAAAATAGCCTACAATGTTGACAGCTCCGATTTTTACTGCAAGTTTCCGATTTTTTATGACCTTACATGAAAAATTCAAATTTTGAGTGATTTTGGTTTTGAGCTTCTATCTCCTTCGTTCGTATACATTAGCGAACAGTTCAGATAGAAAAGCAAAGAGCATGAGTTCCTCTCTTATGCAAATACAAATTCGTTGGGAATTTAAAGAGTTATGAATTTTTGAAAATGGTGCGAACGAACTTTCGGTACAACCTAATATTTATATTAGGTCGTTCGAAAGTTCTTTCCGTTTTTTCAACCTATCATAAAAACACGTGGAATGAAGATAGGGAAACGCTTCAAGCATTTTCCGACGCAGCTTTTCTTCCTCTTTTCAAACCTACTCCTGTGCCGCGTGCTCTTGTGATCAGTGAGATAATGGCCGAAATTTCGAAACCCATGGTTTTTACCATGTCCAACTTTGGCAATTTTTCACATTCTTCATTTTCAACTCTTGGAAAAGCTTTGATAGCATTCAGATAGAGTGAACAAAATGCAATACAATTTAATTTTTTGGTAATTTTAAATGGCTTTTCAGAATTTTCGAGATAACTTTTCCAGAAGTCTTCATTTTCTCAAAGTCACAAAACACAAAAACGCTCCGAACACTAATAAACCTTCGGCTTCCGACACTTTCGAGAGTCGTTTATGATTGTCCACTATTTTTACAAAGTAAATGAGTGTTTACCGCTACGAAATATAAGATTTCGCATTTCACATGTATACCCTTAGGCGGATTCAAAATCAAGAATTATGGAAATTTTATCGCCAAAACCCCCCACAAATTGGGAAGAAAAACCCTCAGCAGAAAGAGAAGGAAAAGTTGTATTTAATGGCACCTTAGTTATGCGCCGTTTTACGTTCCGTGGTTCTTGGCATCACCAAAAGTGGAATTTGATAACATCAGAAAGATAATTCTAAAAATTTTTGAGGCTAGCTATTCCATACAGAAAAATTGCATTGAATTGCACTTTTTCTACTCTATCTGAATGCTACAAAGCTTTTCCAGAAGTCAAAAAAGAAGATTGTGAAAAATTGCCAAAGTTGGACATGGTAAAAATCATGGGTTCGAAATTTCGGTCATTATCTCACTGATCACAAGAGCACGCGGCACAGGAGTAGGACATTTGAAAAGAGGAAGAAAAGCTGCGTCGGAAAATGCTTGAAGCGTTTCCCTATCTTCATTCCACGTGTTTTTTATGACAGGTTGAAAAAACGGAAAGAACTTTCGGAACTACCTGATATGTAATACCAGTCCAAAGCGCCGCTTCGCGGCGCTTTGGACTGGCTGTGTGTGCGAAGTAGGACATGTTCTAAAGTTAGAATTTTGGAGTTTGTGGCCTACCTTTTTCTAGCAAAACGTGTAACATTAGTCATTGAAGCACGCATAGTTTTATGTAGAGAGCACTGATTAGTCGTAATTTAGTTCCTAGCGTGCACTCATTCCCGCAAATCCATAAAAAGGACCGTAAGTTTTGCTATGTAGATTTACCGTTTTCCCATGCTGAAGTTCTTAGCCAATCTCTCCTCCTCTTCCCAGAAGATTAGAGAAGAATAGAGCAGAGATTGAATAAATGTATTTTTTGGCAGAACCTTCTATTAGAAATTATTTGTCTCCCAAAGCTTTTCCTCTGGATAAAGTCTTTAACCTATCTTGCTCTACATAGTCTTCGGTCTGGCCCTAGTTTGGGATTTTCCACCTGTGAGTTGTCTTAATCGCAATGTGTTGCCTCAGAGTTTCGCATCTGAGATATTTACTCTTTGCCATGAGTTTCCAACCCCCTCAGAGTCCCACACTCCGATCTGACCCGCAGGTTCCACACTTCCAAGGACAAAATGCACCTCCGTTACTGTTCAGTTATGATAATGGAATTACATTGAAGTTTCCTCCGACTTCCATTCTTATGAATAGGATAAGTGCTTTTATCCTTTCCCGAGTTGTAGCACATACTTTGGGCTCTTCATTGTCAAAAGACTCCAGTCATCCAGGTTTTTGGAATCCAGACACCCTTTCTTTTCTCGTAAGTACCCTATGAAAGTGTTCACAATTCTTCTCCATGCACAAAAATTCCCTGGCAAAAACCAAATTCGTCTCTCTGTTATGGTTGTTTTCTAGTCCACGATATAGTACCTTTGGATTCAATCCGTAGCTCGACTACCTTTTTCAAAAAACAGGTGATAGTTGTCTGATAAGCAAATTTTGTACAAAAGTAAGCATTTGTGCGGATGTGTGAGATGTGCAAACTTTTGGAAAGCGTTGGATTTGTATATTTATTCGAAGAATTTTCCTGGTTTCTCTACTTTGAGAAATGACAGTTCATTTCACTTTTGAAGAATAGATAATAGCAATTTGTTAAGCAAATTTCGTACAAAACTGTAATTGAAGATTGAACTTTACGTCTACGTAAATCTTTGAGAGGCACTGACATTGTGAGAGTTTCCGAGAAAGTGGTTAAATTTTCAAGCTGGAAAATTAACAGCTCGATATTTCACTTTTGCACTGCTAATAGTCGCTAGATGAGCAATTCATACTAAGACTCTCAAAATCGCGTCAAATGGAAACGTATAAACAGGGAGGCGAGTGATTTGAGCTAGCTCAGGCTTGATTTTGAAAATCATAGAAAAGTCGGTAGAGGACTGTGCTTAAGAGTTCGAAGAATCTCTAATAGGATTCCAAGCGAAAGGATATGACATAAGAAATATTTGATTGGTACTTTTATCGATACATGTTTCCTGAAACCATTATCTGGCTGTAATTTAGCATGAAAATGCTTCTATGAACAAATTCAGTCTGTGAATTGTGAAAGATTGTTTTCGCTGATGGGAGACACATGAGATATCTTGGGGGAAAATTGCTGAGACAATCTTTTCTCTTTGAAACATAAGATCGAATAATACTCTACAGATGGTATATGGTGTATGCAACAGCCCGAGAAGCAATTTGCAACTGGGAACTCCAGAGTAATAGAGTTGGAGAAATCAAAAAAGGAGGTTCAATGTTTTGACTGAAGCAAACGCAGTGATTTTCTTTTGAAATCGCTTTTCTGCGTGAAACCTGTTGATGAAGCCAGGATATATTGACTACTATTGCACTCGAAACTTTAGAAACTCATACCTTCGCTATGTTACTTGAAAGCGAGATTAAGATCTGGGTTGATACTCCAGAACAATTGAAAAAAAAACTGTAGCAAATCGGCAGAAGATTCTAATAATGAAATAATGTATGTTGGTGGCTTGAAGCGCAGATGGAGTAATGCAGAGAGACTGATCAGCCTACATGTATTCTAGACTGTATTGTACCCGCAGCCATCATACCGGCTTGTGTTTTTTAGAAGCTCTTCAGAGCAAGCATTTGTTTACTGAGTATATGGCCGTCGGGTGAATGCCAAAAATCACTTCTTGATCGCTCTTCGGAGCCGACAAACGCGCTGACTCATATGGGGGTGCTTGCGCTTTATATAGAGTAGGATATAGAACTCAAAACTGTGAGTTTGGAGGCTATGTGCGTTATACGCGCGCCGCTCAACCGATTCAGCTGAAACTTTGCACACATATGTTTTCGACCCTTGCGCAGATGATAGGCTCTTTTTGCGGCAATTCGTTGGGTCCTTCTATGATATTGATTTGTTTACGTTTTCCAAGGAATTAAAGGCTTATCATGTTCAATAGTATTTTCCCATAATCATGAAAGGAGGGCGGTAAAGCTCATTTTCACCTCAGGATCACGAGGATGCGGTTTCGAAGCGGATGCCCCAGGGTAAGTTTCCATAATATACAGGGTGTCCCATAAAAATGTTAACACTGTTTGATCGTTAAAAACTCCCCTTGCTTTCAAGTCTTTCGCCGAGCTTCAGGTACCATTTTGTAGAGCGAGGAAAAACTTAGATTTGAGCGTATCGAGCGAATCATCTAACCTTCCTCGTTACTGTAGAGTTACGGTAGGAAATTTGACAAAGATTTTAGACTATTAAAGCCCATTTTCTGCTTTGAAACAGAGCCAAACAAGCCAAAATCTCTTGTACTATGGTAATGAAAGCCGCTGATTTCGGATATGAAATTTTCATTTCATTATGATACTTCTTTTCAAAGTTATCCTAGGTAAGCGTAATAACTGACTTCCCAGCATGTGTCAAAAATGTGATTACACCGTCGAAAAAGCTGAAAACACTCGCAAAAGTTGTGTAGTAAAATCAGCGTGCGCGAAAACCCTAGTACACGATTTTTCAGATTTTTTGAAAAAATTTTTGTCAGAGGGCATATTTCATGACGGTTCCACATGCTGGAATTTCCTACCGTAATTCTACAGTAACGAGGAGCGTTAGATGATTCGCTCGATACGCTCAAATCTAAGTTTATCCTCGCTCTACAGACTGGTACCTAAAGCTCGGCGAAAGACTTGAAAGCAAGGGAGTTATTAACGATCAAACAGTGTTAACATTTTTTTTGGGACACCCTGTATAGGGGGAGGGGTGAGGGGGAGGGGGGGGGGAGGGGCTTTCAGTGCAGGTGAACGGAACAAGACCTGGGCTGGACCGGGAAAGCCAACTAGTAGTAATGGGCAAGATGTAATGTATAAAACAACGTAATTAATATAGTTTATATACATACGAATATCACAGTCATTCAGCAGTTTTCCTGAACACGAGTAGTTCCGAGCCAGATAGGATTCCCATTCGTCCACCTTCTACAATTTTCTGCACTGTGCCGGCAAGAAAGATAGCGTTGAATTTGGAAAATCCTTTTGGAAGAATTCTCAGGTGCTGGCCAAAGCGTATGAGTCTCTCTGAAAGAATGGCATCTACTTGACCCTTTTAGAGCAAATAGTCATTGACTGCTCAGTCTTCAGCAATCTATTGATTTGTGGTTTACTCACTGATCATTGCACTCTCGACAAGCCACATAAAGAAGGGTGAGTGCGAAAAACAGAAATGGAATGGACTACCATTTGTGAGAGAAAGGTCTTCTCTTTCCTCCAGCAGAAGACCATGCCTAGGAAAAATAGCAGTTTAGTATTAATGTTACTAAGAACTTGTGCTTCCATATAAATTTCTTACCTAGATGCTGCATTCAGAAGCTCTTCACGAGTGTGTAGAGATGGCATACCACAGGCATACTCTAGTCCTTCAATGATCTGCAATTTGCAAATTCCAAACCCAAAATGTGAGTAATAAGACTTCTTGTTTACCTCGATGTGCAATGGGTTTTTCTCGTCATATCTATCAGTCTTAATCAAATCATACACCAAAAATTTCCCACCAGGTTTCAATATTCGCGATACCTAAAATCAGCTAATATTTGGGTATGCTCGATTTCCACGCAATCCGACCTCCTTCATCACAGAATCCAACTCGCGAAAATATTTGAGGGAATAAATTGCGTAAGCAGCATCTTTGGAACTATCTTCCAGTGGCATGTCATAACAGTCACCCTCTATCAAGCGACATTTGGAATGAATTCCAAGCCTATGAAACTCGGCGTTGCCTATAAAGGAATTATCAATTTTTTCTGGGCACATTGGAAGGAGAATATCCAAAAATTCTCCCAAAGTGAAAATAATTTTCCCCCTGATTAGATGTTTATTCACAGGTCAGCGTAATGCTTGCAAATTGAGGAAAAACTGCAAATTTCATCTTTAACCCCTGTGAGTAATCAAGTCCAAAAATGGATAAAAATATGATCTACTTAGTGCTTTCGGCTTATAAAGACATTAAACTTCAACATCGTTCAGTGCTATCTAGTACAGAATTACGCTGGTTTAGGGAATGGTGCTAAAACTCCAACTTCTTTGGGACAACGAGCTTGGCGGTGCACCCTCTTTCGAAAACAAAAAATTTTTACTGCAGCAGGTCAAGGATTAGTTGCCATCTAATTCAATAAATAACTCGATTGATAGTGTGATCTAATGACGCACAAACTTTCGCACTTCCGACTCACCGATCTCTACTTCATTGGCAGCGATAGTGATACCCGTCAGATCGGCGCCAGTAGATGCAAGATCCTTGATGACACCACCGATGCCACATCCTATATCTGCGCAAGATTTTCCCTCTTTTAAGCCAAGTCGTTCGCCAATCTTCCTGGACAGAGAAGTATTGGGTACGCAATGAGTTTCCAAACACCAACCTATGTAGATCTGCAAGTGCTTCTTCCAATGTCATACTTGTCTTCCTAGGTGGGGCGAAATGGAAGTTGCCTAAATTTTCTGGGAATTTTGGCAGATACCATATATCCAGCTTTTTTTCTGTATACGTTTTAAATGGCTTTGCAAAAAAATCAAAGAACAAATTTTTGAGGTGTTGTTCGCGAGAAAAAAGAGTTTTCTGATTAATATTTTTTTCACCGTGTGCAATCAAGAGCATAGAAACTTATTAATCACAACATACAAATGTTGCTCTCGGACTCTAGATGAAGTCGTTTAGCTTTTAGAGAGTGATTTCGTTTGACTGAAAAAAACTGGAACCATCTACTGGCATCGGGCTTCTTGCAATATGTAAGAGAAATTGTACAAAGTTTAAAAACGATTTTGAAACACAGTAACAAGAATATTACTGTGTTAGAGACCATGACATGATGTAATAAGAATTAGCAAGTTTTTGGCTGGCTACGTGGCTCACCTCCAAAGTATTCGTCGATTACGGTAGACATTACCGAGTAATAATGAGATGTAACAGCGGAGTGATCTCCACTTTGCTTTGCTTCTTCGAATAGTTTATCATGTTGTTCGGCGAAATCTATCTGAAAAGTCTTGAGTTCAGTAAGAGATACGTAGTAGAAAAAGTTGATTAAAAAACTTTCGTTTAGTTTTAGTATGATCAAGGAAATTTTTCTATCGCCCATTCTGTTGGCTTCCGTTTCTTGGTCTAGAAAAGAAGAAAACTAAAAAGGGTCATTTTATATCCCATTTATCATTTATACAAAACCAGCTGTTGCAAATTGCTGGCTGTTCTACAGCCGACAATTTTCCACTTTGCATTCGACATGATTGCTAACGCTTGCGTTGAAATCTTTCTAAGCTGAATAAACGGAAACATACAGGAAGAGCTTTAGGATCATTTCAGTGGCTCATGTACACAAAGAACATTCAAAATGTGTTCTCGATATTTCGTTCAGGTAGGACGTATGCGTCAAATACGATGATGCAAAATGGTGCAAGTTTTTTTAATTGGTTTCTCAAATTTTTTAGTTCGCAAAGTAACACCCAATTCCGGAGCTATTACGTCATTTAGTTTCTATGAATTCTAAGTAAGATTGAGTCAAGATAACAACAAGAGTCCCTTTTTTCATTTGCTTGTAATTTCGCGAACAACCTTGATCAAGGCATGAACCTCATTGTAGGAGTCACCACTTAGCGTATTGACCTTCGTTTGCGAGGCAAGTTAGCGAGCAAGGAGCATCTAGCAAAAGAGTCTAGTGCTGAGTGTCAGCATATTATGTGCGACATCCCAAATGAAGTGATTTCGGTCTGTAAAAATTGAGAATTTTGAGCACTGCCATTCACAAACCTTTTTTTGGACATGCTCTAGCAATTTGATTGGATGCCTGTGGATGCAACAAAATAGTGGTGGATCGGATAAAATAGTGAAAAACCTACGATGACCCAAATCGTCATCGACGATCGGGTCAAGGAGAGCGATACTCTACATAGCGCAACACCTAAACCGATTTCACCGGGATTAACCAGAATCACCTGACTCTAAATATTGCAAGAATATGTTAATAAAAGGTACAACTCATTGCCTGAATGGTTTTTCTTACATAACTTACCAAATCGTGCCTTCGAAAATGCATAAGTAGTTTCAAATAGTTTCGTTTCATGTCGACAGCCATTTTCGACTGTTTCTACCTGAAAGAAGTGTTCTTGGATAGATGTGAGTGTAAATTTCCGGAAGCAATGGATTATAGAAAGATAGGGCAGAAGTATTCGCTGGACACATGGATGACCGTGCCAGGTGGGCGGACCAGTGAATGAGTGCATCTCGGCCCTGACCATCTCGCGCATTCTTAGCGGATGTAAGGAATATGCATTCGGAGTGAATTTTGAATGTGAATGTGCGGAACAGTCTAACATCAGTTTACTCTCAAAAAGCTGAAAATTCACTGTTCAGAAAATTGCGCGTTTTTGCTCTAGAATATGAAGTAAAAAATGGAGAGCAGCCGCATTTCATTTTGGTATAAGCGAGATCGTTTATTTGTGAGATCTGCTACCCTTATAGGCACATACACCATCCTGCAGGTTTTTTTGGAAAACTGTGACAAGGAAAAAATTCGAAACAATCAGTGAAGCTGACAAGAGAGAAATAATTTGCCGAATTGTCTGCCATTGCCCACAAATCTAGAAAGGAAGATGAATGTTAGGAGTACCCGCAATATTTCATACATAAAAAAAACATGTTTAAATGCAGCCTCGGCAAACGTTTGCATTTTAGTCTGGTTCAAAATTATTTAAATGAGGAGAAAAAGTAAAAGTGAGGCTTTTGTAAGCTAGTAGACGTAGCAGAGTGAGATTCTAATCAGAAATCCATGAGTGGATCTTATGGTATGAAACAACTGTTCGAAAGTCATGACAGTGCCATTCTTCTAAAAATTACCTCAAATCAGGTAAGAATCCTAAAGGCAGTGGTAAGAATTTGCGCAGATATGAGATTTTACTGATGAGCAGAACTATATTCTATTACAGATTTTATGCATTATTCTTCTGAGTTGAAATTATTCGCAACTCGCTTGCAATCAGTATGAAACTTTGAAACAGGATGAAATTATCTACAACAAATTGGAAACTGAAACCATTCACTTGTTAGCAATCAGGCAGCAGAGGAATTGAAAACCTCAATACAGTGCACTAATTTGGCGCTTTACAGAAATGAAATGCTTCCCTAAAGTAACAGATGAAATTTACAAAGAGATGGTGCCGCAGAAGATCTTCATTTTAAAACTGTCCGTGCCAGTAGGGTTATGCGAACACAATGGAGAGACAGAAATTCATTTCTGATTTTGTATGTTTGATTATACGACATCGCACCAATGTAACTAAATAAAAAAAATTGTTTTCACAAATGGCTTTCGTTCAGCATCATGTGCTCAATCAATGTTATCAGAAACATCTATGTTTGGATGTTATTTTTAGTCACGAACATGAGGATAGAAGATGCGGTATTGTGATATCTGTAGGCCAAAGTTTTGAGAACTTATCTGCGTTTTCAACTTTTACGACACTAAGCACAAAGATAGTATTTTAATAGTAAAAGCGGTGCTCTAACAATATTATTTTTCCTTATAGTCAATTCCTATGAACATTTTGTCGTAGCCATCGTCGTCGGAATTCCATCAAAAAAGGTGGATTTGCAATCAAACTTACATATTTTTTGGCCTTTCTTCATGAATCTCTGTTTGGAAGTTTGTTTCAGGCTATGCATCTCACTTTTAACACCTTCGTGAGCGCCAAGTGGAAAATGGGACAGCTTTTTACTGTCTCGGATAGTTTTTACAGTGGCACACGGTGCGTGATACTCCCTTAGTAATCGTTCGGACAATCCTATAGATGTTCGTTGCGGAGCTTAAGAAGAAGTAGGCCTTCCTTAGCTTCTACGGCATAACAAACTCAAAAACTTGGGTCTTAAGATTTTCTTAGCTTTTTCGGACAGCAACATCTATGAACCCACGACTCAGCACGAGTTTTTACTTTCTACATACATTGTATATCATGTACCGATACGCAATGATATGATACTGCTCGCATTTTATGAAAAAAGTACGCAAACTTGCCCGATCCATACGACATCACCTTAGCGTGGCCACATTTCACCTCAAAGTGGACAAATTCTCAATTCAAAGCACCATTCGACTCAACTTGGCGCGATTCATCTTTTAATATATAGAAGTGCCTGTTTGGACACAGTAGAGACTTCCACGAAACGTTGCAATTTTTGCTTACGGTAGTTCACTCAGTGTGTTACTGCACAAATTTAAGGTTTTCGCGAAATTATTTCTTACAGCATATGATCTTTGATGCCAAATCTGTGAGGATATACATAAGTACATCCTCAGAATTCGTCCAAGCCTAAGAGAGAAGGATATTTGGTCGAAGTGGAGTTTCCATATAAAATGTATATTGTTTTATAGACCATGGAAAGATGATTTCAAATCTGCTTTCAAGATCTGCAAAGCGCTTCTGGGAGGGTAACGTTATTGAAGCAAATGTTTAGGGGTCTAACTATAGTAAAAACAGGTGTTGAGATCTTTCCGGCATCTGAAAGGGGTGTGATTAGCATAAATTTGTTATGAAGTGATTGACTGCATAAAGCTCCCTGACAGTAATCGTAGCCTCAGCTGAGCTCACAGACTCCAGCTCTAAAATTCTATTGTAGCATTCAAGATTTTGTTCAAAAAATCCTCATAACTCCCCTTCCAAAAGGCATTATGCAGACATCTAAGGCAGATTTGGAGCGTTCATGCTTTACAAGATAGTGCAGATTTCATGTGGAAGCCTCACTTCGACCAAGTATCCCTCCCTACCAAGGTGGGACTCGGCAGTGGCAGTCAACTGATGCAAACTAGACTGATGCAGACTTATTTCTTGCCTGTCTCTATCAAAAGGCATTCTCTGATTATTTCTTCATTCGCCCTCAAGTGTCCAAGTTTGAGGAATTGCAATTCAGTGCCATAGAAGAGTGCCTTCATGGAAACGCCATTGTTCAAGTACGACGCCATAATGATCCACCAGAAGCAAGAAGAACTGTAGGAAAGTCGATCTGCGGCAGAGTACGCATGCCCCCACAGCCAAAGCGTAAGGTCTTACAGCAACTCTGCATCTCAGCCTTGCGGAAGGCGTCCGAATTCAAGTTGGAAGATTTCAAAAACGCATGCTCTCGCTTTCTAACGTGAATTTTCGGATTCAGCGTTGCGGATAACCTCAAATAAGTGAGTTTGCTAAAAGGACCCTTATCTGGACACTGCCTTTAACATCAGTGTCAGGAGGGTGTTAGACCTGTGAACAATCCTGCTAACCTACGGCATGCGACATTGAATTCAACACCTTGTCACTTAAAGGTAGCCTGTGGTTGTATTGAGTAAGCGCCTTTTATAATTGACGAAATAAAAAAATCAGGATTAAGTGCCGACTAGCTAATGCCGGTAAGGTATAGGCAGGAGTCCTGCATGAAACTCCTCTTATTATTAGAGTTAGTGAGCGAATTCAGTGGTATAGTGGGCGTGGTCCTGCAGACGTATGAGCATGTTAGAGTACTTGTTGAACCTCTATTATAACGCATTAGTTTTTGTACACTCCAGCTATAAAAATGAAAAGCGCATACGTTGACAACGTCGGCAGTGCTCCGCTGGCCATACCGTGGGGAATCGACGATAACATTTGGTATAGGCGTTTCCCATGCGTATTGCGGGCGTGGCCCTGCAGACATTTGAACACGTTGGAAAACTCGTTGAAACTCTACTTTAGAACACTGGTTTTTGTAATCTCTAACTATCAAAAACTGCCACGCGCATACGTTGGCAAACGTCGGCAAAGCTCCGTCCGCTATACTGTGGGGAATAGACGATACACTATGGACTTCGAATGTTTTGTGTGACATCTCCATGCATGTAAGGCGTTAGTTGCCAAAACCGTAAGATTGCAAAGAATGTTACGAAATCGCTTCCCTTTTTATAAACAATAAAAAGTGCGGCACATATAAGACTAGAATGTCTGGTTTCATAAGAGCACTGGATCCCAACCTCATCGCAACCCGTGCACCGTCAATGCTCTTTACTTCTGAGATTAACCCACTATCAGATACTCAGCCATTGTGCATGCCAGTACTACAAATTATGGTACCCAAATAAATTTAGAATAGCTGAAGAAAGAGAATCTTTTTTGAAGGTATCCGTGCTGAAGTATCTGTGCTTAAAAGCAGTGGCTCGGCAAAACCAAACATCTCGAAATTTTGATACGGAAGGTTGCTTGCATCCCAAATATCACAGAGCAGGTCCGAGCCCACTACATGTTCCCCTGCCTAGAAAGGTGCCCCTTAACCCGTGCGCGAAAGCCATTCTTACACGCGCTCGGACGAGTTTGCAGTCCCCTCCCACCGTCAAAGACGGCATGCCGCAATATTGTGAACATAAGAATCTCGCAACGACTCTACGTCTCTAATTATGGCGGTAAGTGGTCCAATTCTCCAAAATCAAACTGAGAACCCCTGAAAAATGTTGGTTTTCAGCATTTTCGTGCTATTCAAGGTGTCTTTCCAAGATCAGCGCTTCGAATTACCCTAGTTGCGAAAAAACTTTAGGTCAGAATTTGCCGAGCTACTGCCTTTAATACAATAGAAAACCAGATATTGGCCGAGCAGGTATGTTGCAATAATAAACATTGTTTTTCTTTGAAGTTAGCAGAAATACAAATCCGAGTGATATAGGCGATTCCCATACGTATGGCGAGCCCTGCAGACATTTTAACACGTTGGAAAACTTGTTAAACCTCCATTTTAAAGCATTAGTTTTTGTGCTCTCTCGGTATCAAAAGCTGCCACAGGGATACGTTGGCTAACGTCGGCAAAGCTCCGCCCGCTATACGGGGAATAGACGATAAGAATTGCGAAAGCCTTTACAAATGCATTGTGCCGCGTAAGGTTTAGGCCATACTGACCAAACCGCCATATCATTATGCACGTGTGAGTACGATTCATACATCACGTACGCCGCTTAATCTGGCTTAGAGGCAGTGTCCGGGCAAGTTGAGAGTTCTGGGATTTTTGTGCGATGCGAAAGTGGCCCTCTTCAGACACAACATTGCGCAAGTGGAGGTCATAACGCTCGACCTAAAGCAAGAAAAACGACCAGAAAGTGGAGA